TGGAAATAACGTAAACATGCACACGCAAAAGACGGGATATGTAAACGGCCCTTAGTTATTATTCTCAGCCATTGTTAAAGTCGGCCTTTAATTCAGTGTGCGTGCGTATTAAGTACAAGCTCGGAACTTTAAACTAGCGGCATAACTTTTAGTTGCAGCAGTTTTGTTCCGTAAAGAAACATGGTGTTAAAAAGCCATTATGATTTATTAACCGTGATTAATAGTGAAATAGTGATAGTCGGTTTATCGTTGCTTCTCTAGTATATGGCTGGGCAATATGGCAATAATGCAATCTCAATAATTAATTATTTTCAATAATTTTACGTTGTTAATTCTTCCAGATTTAAAAGAGTACCCCAACAATTACTAAAGCATTCATTAAAAGAGTTCATTAAATGGCATAATATAAATTCTCTAATATCAATATCTATAATAACCTCTATATCAACATGCTTTTAGATTCCAATTGTTGCGCATTTCTGCTGTGTGATTGGCTCTTAGATCAACATAGAGAAAAAAAGAGCCCAGAGTCCAGAGCTTATCGTTGTCATTGACATCAATTTTATCACGATTCAATATAATATTGTTTATCCTCCCAGCTCTAATCTCTAGTAATTAGTAGTGTTTTTTATTGTATTTTTTAAGTTTGTCATTGGTTTTATTTTTCTTGTTTTATTTTCCTGTGTCTGTGTGTGTGTTTTTTTTAATAATGTCTTTTGTGATGGTTTTTTTTTGTTGTAATTTTTTTATTTATTTGTTTAGCGCAGGGGTCACCAAACTTGTTTCTGGAGGGCCGGTGTCCTGCAGATTTTAGCTCCAACCCTAATCAAACACACCTGAGCAAGCTAATCAAGGTCTTTTTAGGTATTCTTGAAACATCCAGGCAGGTGCGTTGAGGCAAGTTGGAGCTAAACCCTGCAGGTGCACCGGCCCTCCAGGACCGAGATTGTTGACCCCTGGTTTAGGGCTTTCAAAAGTTTTGCTTTTACTTTGTTTTTGTTTCTATTCGTTTGAACACTCAGTTGTATACAAAATTTCACTTGCTTTATCTCTCCCATCAAGTGCGTCTTGGACTGGAAAAGTTTGTAAACTCTTGAATTCTGCCTCACTATTTTTTGTCAGTTTAATTGACGCAAGTTGAGTTGACCAGGAAATGTAATTCATTTAATGACCAGCTAATTTAACTCAACTAACAACTTGGAGGCAGCAAGATTTTTTGTTTTTTCACTGTAAAAATTGATTAGTTACTTAAAGCAAGTACACCAATTGCCTTAAAAGCAACAAGTTGACTTTACAGAAATAATGTAAATAAACACATTGTAACTTGGAACTGTTAAGCTGACTTAATTTTTATAATCATGCTTATTGTACTCACTTTATTAGTCAACTAATTCTTTTTTTACAGTGTGAGACTATTTTAGCACATGTGTTTTCAAATAATGACTGTAATTATTACAATATTTGGTGCTTCATTAAGTCTTTAAAATCTAAAATTATAGCCTGTATTGAATTTAGAAGACACACTGGAGTCTGGAAGAGCAGATTTATTTTAGTTACTGTCATTTTGCTAGATACAGAAAAGCTGGAATAAACTAATATCATAAATGTGTATTGGAAAAAGTGATTAGTTTACTTTTATTTTTTTAAAAAGTAAGTAGAATTTGCATAAAAAAATAAAGTCAATTTAACAGTTACAAGTTACCATGGGTTATTATTATAAAGTCAACTTGTTTTTTTTATGGCAATTGGTTTACTCTTATTCATGTGTACAGTGCACAAGCCCGTTTGAATCACAACCATCAAGCCTGACACATCCCAACGTCTTTGAAAAGCTGATCCACTACAACAACAATCAGTTTCCTGTCTTTACATGAATCACGCTATTCCAGTGTGTGACAAGTATAAAATTAGTTAGTCAGAGCAGCAGGGGAAGACTGTGTTTTTAAAGGGAAGTGCGTGATATCCTAACTGTAAGGCCTTCGGTCAATTTATGCCGTTATTGGAACCCATTTGGCTGTCTAGCCAGCACCCTTCAACTCGTACCGCTCATCACCCAGCAACGCCAATACAGGATGACCGTTTTAGTCCCAGCAGCTCAGACAGGAAGTGACTTCATGTTGTGGGGCCCACTGCAGTTTTTAAGCCAGTGCTACTTTGCATTGAACAGGCTGGCAATCAGAGCTGGTTGACATATTAATGAGGTCAAAGCGCTCTGTGTCATATCATATCTGCTTTACAAGCCCAATGCATGCACTGCACCACTTGTAAAAAAAAAAATAAGGTGGGCAGATTCAACCGTTGTGAATGTGAACCGGAAACACTTGAAAGTAATTGCAAAATGTGTCTTGCGTTGTTTTAAGTGCATTATTAGGTTTAGTACTAAGCTTATTTATTTTTTACTAATTCTGGGCGCATGGTTTACTGTTAAGTGGGTTATTGTGTTTTAATTTTTGTGTTCTCAATAAATATTTTTATATTTTTACTGTTAAATTTATTTTGTTTGTTTTATGATTATTATTTTTGTTTTGTTTTGTGATTTTTTTTTTGTATTCTGCTTTATTTTGTGATCTCAATAGTTTTTATTTTTATTGTTTTAAATTTGTTTTATAATGATTTGTTTTGTGATTTTCTTTTGAAGAATTTTATTGTTTTATATTCTTTTTTTCAAATTGTTTTTTAGTATTTTTCTTTTTTGTGCCCTCAATAAATAAATTAATTTTGTTTTTTTTATTTTGTATTTTTCAGATTTTAATGTTATTGTTTATTTTTGTGCTCTCAGTAAAATGTTTTATTTTATATTGTTTTAATTTTCTTAGTTTTATGATGATTATTGTTTTGTGTTTTGTGATTTTATTTATTTATTTTAAAAATATTTTTCTGTTTTTTATTTTCGTGTTTTCAGTTTTATTTTTGTTGTTAATTTGTTTTGCTTTTTATTTATTTATTTTTATTGATTGATTTTACATTTTTTGTATTTTTTAGTTTTTATTTTATTGTTTTTGCTCAATAAATAGTTTTTATTTCATTTTATTATTTTAGATGGGTTTTTTGTTATGATTTATTTTTTGTGGGGGATTTGAGTTTTTTTATGATTAATTTTTGTGCTTTCAATAAATACTTTTTATTTTTTATTTTTTGTAGTTTTATGGTGATTTCTTGTTTTTAGTTTTGTTTGTATTTGTATTGTTTTTAAATTTTATAGTGAGTATTTTTTCCATTTTGTGATTTTTGATTGTTTTATTTTTTGTTTTGCATGAATAGTTTTTAATTTTATAGTTTAAATTTTTTTTGTTCTATGATTTTTTTTGTTTTGTTTATTTTTAGCATTTTTCTGTGTTTTTTATTGCTTTAAATTTGCTTTTTAGTTTTATGATTTTGTTTTGTGTGTGATTTTAGTTTTTTTCCCCTATTTTTCTGTTTTTATTTTATTTTTATATTTATACTCTTAATAAATATTACATTTGTTTTGTTTTTTGTGATGTTTTTTATTTTTATTTTTTTTTGCATTTTTTGTTCGTTATTGTTTTATTTTTATTCACTATTCAGGGCCCTGTTTTTTTCCAAGAAATATAATAGGTTGACTTTCAAAGCTCTTGTTTGCTTTTAGCACTTCACTTCTAATAAACCTTTAAAATTTAAATTAAATAAACTTTAGAATTTGGTTTTTGTAACTGAAATCCTATGAGAAACAGTTTTCTGCACATCAAAATTCCTGCTCATTTGTTCCTTTGAGACTTGCAGGTGAGAAAAACAGCATTGCATGTGTCATTTGCTTAAGTTCAAGTTCAGTTCACAAGTTTGTCCCAGCATAATGGAAATACAGCAATACTTACTTTTGAGATTCAAGTTGCTCATCACCATGAAAGTGAAGTGTGTTTTTTTTTTTTTTCTTTTGTAACTTCTCGTTTCTGCTTTTGGGTCTTTTAATTTTGAGTATTTTATTCTTCTTCACGGAAGTAACTACAGCACTGCTTTATTTAACCCAATGTTTATCTGAAGAGAAAAAATAGAGAATAGTATTTTTAAAACTATAGACTGTATTGCATGATTGCTAAAACGTAATTGTCTGTAAATTAATACATTATTTATAATGATTACAAGCACATTTTCAGTCCTAACTTAAATTAATTTTACTTATTTATTCTTTTTTCTCCTAATTTATAAATTGGTTTGCAAATTTATCATTTTATTTAATTTATACATTTCTAAAATATATATATATATATATATATATATATATATATATATATATATATATATATATATTTTTTTTTTTTTTTTTTTAAGTTTTCTCTTTAAAAAATCTGTTTTATACCCTGCTTAAACACACACTTAATAGAAATGCCTAGGATTTTAAAGGATCAGCATTATTTCTTGTATCGCAAGATTTATTTTTTTAGTCTGAACTGTTAGTTGATGCATAAATAACCTATCTCATTTCTAACCAGAGGCTTTGTGCGTTGTTACTTTTTGATAATTGACAAACAGATGATAGATAAGACAAACGGATAGTAGATGACTCCAAAGCCATCTCAATGTCCTTCTTAAAGTTGATTTAGAAATGCCTCTCGTAACCCATCCGGTTTCAACAGTGTAGTATTAGTCTGGTCATGGATGGTTGATTTCTAAGTGTAAAGTGCTTGTTTTGTGGGGTGGCTTGATGCCCTCAGTTCACACTGAATGTTTAACATGCTTTCTGCAAGCCTGCTTTGCTGCTCAGCCCTTCTTCCTGTCTGAGGCATCGGAAAATCTACAGCCGCCACTTCCCCTTTGAAAGTGTGTGTGTGTGCTTGAACTGTATTTGCTGCTGAACAGTGTTTGCTGACATGCATGGCAGGTTGAATTTTGACTCATTGTTGAAATGCGAGTACTTTTTTGGTATGCCTGACTTGCTTGTAGTCAGGATGGCTTGTTTGGTTTATTATTTTTTAGAAATCACTTTGTGAATTAGGATTTAATTTGAAGCTGTCATAATGCTTTTTTTTATTGGTGATCGACAGGTTTTGGGCCAGTTTTGGCTGCTGCTGTATGCCTCAGGCTCAGCTCTGATGTTACCGGTTGAAACGGGTCGACTGTGAGAGGACGGATTCCCTCAGCTATGTCTACCTTTGAGGTAAAGGAAGCCTTAAGGTGGTGCTGTTAAGATATAATGTGAATTATGACACCGCTTCATTTTTAAAGCATCCTGTTTTGCTTTCCTTTTTTTTTTTTTTAAAGTCAAAGGCTTTTCCTTTTTTCTTTCCCTCTCTAGGCGACCTGGCCTGCGGGCACCGAGTGTGTGGCCAGGTACAACTTCCCTGGAACGGCAGACCAGGACTTGCCCATGTGCAAAGGAGATGTGCTTACTATAGTTGGAGTAACTAAGGTACATTTCTGAAATGTTACTGTATATGATACTGCAAAAATGGAAAATTGTCATCATTTACTCAACCTACTCAAACTATACAATATATCTGAAAATATGGTTTAGTGATTTTGTCAAATGCTGTTGTACGTTTACTGTATGGAGGAAAACATGAATTAAATATTAGCATTAGTGTTCTATGTAGACTGAAAAAAATATTCATTGGATTTACTAAAAAATGTTTAAGTTAAGTGGTTGCAAACAATTTATATGAGCTAAATTTAAACAAATTAAATTTAGAAATGTTTAACTTTTTAAATTAAGCTTATATAAATTGTTTGCTATAATTATCAATGAACCCTTTTTTTTCAGTGTAAGAAAATATTTCATATCAAGTCATTTGACTTATTTAAGCTATACATGTAATTTTAAATCGCACCTTAATTTAATAATTGGAGCACTTTGAAAGTTTGGAGTGTGTGAGGTTTTTGAAAATGCTTTTGAATCTTCACCCAGCCTGCATTTATTTGATCAGCAATTCTGTAAAAACAATATTTTAATATTGTTACTTGTCATTTGACTTAATTTTGAAGCATCATTTATTTTTATGATGGAAAATTAACTTTTTAGCATCATTTCTCCAGACTTAAGTGTCATGTGATTGTTCAGAAATCATGTTAATAGGCTGATTTGGTGTATTAAAAGCTTAGTTCTTATCAATGTTGAAAACAGTAGTGCTGCTTAAGATTTGTGGAAATCATGATACATTTTTTTGCAGTATAATTTGAACAATATATATATTTTTTAAATTCATTCATTCGTTATTGCTCGGCTTAGTCCCTTTATTTATCTGGGAATGAACCGCCATCTTGTCCAGCAAATGTTTTACACAGCGGATGCCCTTCCAACTGCAACCCAGTTCTGGGAAACATCCATAAACGCATACACTACGGCCAATTTAGTTTGTTAAATTTACCTGTACCGCATGTCTTTATACTATGGGGGAAACCGGAGCACCCGGTGGAAACCCACACCAGCACGGGTAGAACATGCAAACTCCACACAGAAATTCCAACTGACCCAGCCAGGACTCGAGGCAGTGATCTTCTTGCTGTGAGGTTACAGTGTTAACCACTGAGCCACCATGTCACCCTATTCGCAATATAGTATTGCTAATACTAATTTTGCTTTATCTAATGCATCTTTGCTGATGAAACATCTGCACTGTGATTTACATTTGTATTTTAGTATTTGTGGAAATTTTGGAGGTACATAAAAAAAAACAATCCCAGCTGAGTAAGAGTTGTTAACTTTAAAGTGTAAACTTTGAAAACATATTCACACTAATTTTACTGTTCAGTGGAAACTAATGAGACCTAGACGCTGCGAAGATATCAAAATTGCATAAAAATGACTAAAACGTGCTATATTATTACTTTCTGTGAGAAATCTAAATGGTATGTTCATGCTTTGCGAGTTTGGTTGGTTACAATAAACTTAAGTGTGATTGCTCTGTTAGTGTGGTTCATTTGAATAAGTGTGAATGCCGCCATTTGGACTTTGGTGGACACTGAAAAGATGTCAAGCTCTTGTGCTTGTTGCGTTCATTTTTTTTAGCAGTTGAACTTCACCAAGGACATCAATACGAAACAAAAGCAGAAGTTTAATTCACAACTTTGGATGGAAACATAGCTATTGTGTCAGTGTTGCCCATTACAGTTTAATACAGGTGTCAGAAACTGGTCTACTACTTGCAGATCTTCATTTGTGTGGGTGACAGATGGACATCTGATTCTGTTTTGGCCACATTTGCATATTTTACACATTTAACTCTTGATAGAAATAGTGTTACAAGGATGCACAAAAATCATTTTAAGCTCAGCAGTCAACGCACATTATTGTTTTAGATATTCAGTATGTTCCGTTAAAATATATGTAATGAAAATATAGGTTGTTTTCACATGGCGTCATTTATTCAGATGGAATGCAGGAAGTGGTTCTTCTACTTAGAAATCGCTATCAGAACATTAAAATATCTCTGTTTTATCATATTTATATTTGTTTAAATTGGCCAAAATAATAATGCCTAACAACTTTTATAGACTTCCAAAAGTTTTTGCTCATAAAGGGGAGAAAGTTCAGGAAAATGGCTGAAAGACGGAAGAAAAAGCTCCATGTAATAAACATTTGTTCAGTGCATCCATGTGTACAAACCTTTTTTGATTGCAAAAATTCATTTTGACAACAGCAATAAAGATTACAGGCCTAGCTATGTTTATAACAGGGTTCATACAGTCATGGAAAACCTGGAAAAGTCATGAAATTTAGACATGACAATTTCCAGACCTGGAAATTTTTTGTCTTTTCTGCCCTTGGCCAATCCCATGGTCTCACATTATTAGTGCATTATATAAATTTAATTTTACATGGATATTAATAATAAATTTAAACTAAGTAATTGGTGGTTCATTATGCTGTGGCGAATCCTGATAAATCAGGGACTAAGCCTAAAGAATGAATAACTAAAAGACTAAATGAATGAATAATTGTTGCATGTTTTAAGATATGCTATAATAAATTGGAATGTGGATAGTTTTTCCTACCATGTATATGAAGACATAATATGAAACATTTGGTCATTAAAATTTACTTAAAAGTCTTGGAAAAGTCATGGAATTTTGTAGTAAAAATGTGTATGAACCCTGGTATAAATATGTGTTCTATAAAAATCAGATTCAAACACCACCACACTTATACAGAATCCAGTAGAATATAAGTAACGTATACAGTCATATAATCGCTGCAATGAAATCTCCATCTTGTTTTGCAATAATCCATGTCTTTACTGGCGTTTCGGCAGAATATACAATTCTAACATGAACATCTAGATGCGCAGCAGCAGTAAATGTTTGTTGATGGTAAGTTCATCGACCAAACAAAAAAGAAATGCAACTTTTGCGACAAAACCTGATGATTATTATTGTGGAGGCCTTTTCCCTCTCACAAAATAAGTGAGCAAATAAATTAAGAAATAAATAAATAATAATGTAGACTATGCATCCACGCTTTTGTATGCTTGCTCTCATGTTATTTTGTGAAATAAACTATAATAATTTATAATAAACATGTTTTTGAACCACATAGTAAAATGTATAATGTGTTCAACTCTTTGTTAATAAATGCTACAGAATACAGTAACATATTAAACTGTAATAAATACTGTAACGTTAGCGTAAACTGTGGAGCATCTTCATTAGTGCAGAAAACTGAAGCCTATTGAATAATTACTCATTACTACAGTTGTGTTGTACCACAGCTAGGCATGGGGCAGTATAAGATTCTGAAGGTATGATAACCTTGGATAAATATATCACGGTTTTGCAGGATTGTGATTACTGCTCTAAAATATATTCTTCTTAAATGTCTGGGAAAAAAACAAAAAATTTCCTTTTGAACACAATATATTTTATTTTGAGAAACATTTAAAATGTTTTGGAACAGTAAACATATCAGGCTAAATGAATTTTTTTTTTTTTTTTACAATTTAAAACGGCATCTTTTCTGCTGAAGATACAGTTGTCCTAAAAACAAACAAACAAACAACAAAAAAACAAATAAAAAATCGTACACATACCTTAGGAACAGTATTGCAGAACTTTTTTATGGTTTTTATAATCTTAACTTTTCCAATCTGCGGTATACTGTGAAAATGGTTATCGTCTAATGCCTAACCACAGCAACAATATAATAACTACGACAGTTTAATTCAAACAATTATATACAGTATGCTCTCAAACACTGTTGTATTTACTATAAAATGTTTCAAGTAATGTAATTAAACAGTATCTACCGTCTCGATGACAGGCAACTATATTTTAGTTTAGTAGAAAACTCGGCCCTCTTCCTGATATAAGGATCATGCCCAACATATGTGGTTGTTTTCTATTTATATCTCCTTAAAAAAATGGTATATATGGCAAATATATGAACTTTCCTCTGTGTCTCATTCATTTTTTTTACTTCCTGCCTTCCATCTGAAAACCATTTAATTGAAAACAACCTGTATGTGGTGTTGTTTTTATTTTTACTTTGCAGTATCTTTATGTTTGGTCTAAAATAATATTATAAATTACAAGTGTCTGTATTCGATGAAGTTAATTTTAACTGTTTAAAAGCACAATATATCTCACCGTCTTATAAAAAGGATGTCACACAAGTTCTGAACAACACAAAAGCCAAATATATTGTCTATAAATAAATAATTTTTTATTTTTGGGTCTCTATTCCAGGACCCTAATTGGTACAGAGCGAAAAACTCTGCTGGACGAGAGGGCACCATCCCAGCAAACTACGTTCAGAAGAGAGAAGGAGTAAAGTCCGCCAGCAAACTGAGCCTTATGCCGTAAGTACGCCGTTCATTTGCCTGCACTTTTTGTCTTCACAGATGTACACTTGATAGTAGAGTGTTTGCGCGGGTTTCATACATACAAACATTAGCGAGCTATATTTAGCATGCATGACTGATATCATCACAGATCACCTACTATATCTATAATAATACACAAATGTCTTCCTGCTTTCCGGCCCACCACAATAACCCAAGGACTCATTTGAATCGGTCAGCTGTTTAAAATAGAAAGGAGAAATCAAAGAGTTATATAAATGGCACTATGGAAAAAAAGTCCATCTGATATGCAAAAAGCCAGACGCGTGCATCATGATTAGCGTAAAGAGCATGCGATATTCTTCAATTACTGGCTGCTTTTAGAAGGATGCAGGAGTCTCGGTTGCTTAGCAAGGCAAGCTCTGAATCTGCGATGTATAGAAGCTAGAGGTCTGCTTTTAACCGTGTATAATAGAAGGGTTGGATGTAGATGTGTTTGGGTTTGTTAGATGGTGACAGTAGCAGTCTGGTCTTAAGTAAGTGCACGGCTTCAGTTTATTTTTGATGGTGTGTATGTGTATGTGTGGGTTATTGGGAGATACAGATTGGATGTTTCTCATGCCAGGGAAGCCACAGAAGGGCCAGGCTAGGCCAGCGCTCCTTTTGGAAGCCTGTAATTTAGCTTCCTTTTCTCAGTCCTGTGCACAATATTATGTATCCAAATCAGTGAATTCTACCCATAGTTAGTCCTAAATGCAGAAAAAAAACAAAGCAATACTATTTTTAGCATATTTTGGTGCTTTTAAGGTAAAATACTATTTTAGATGCACTGCTTTAAGAATTTAATTCAAGTTTATTTGTAGTTAGTAGTTGTATAAATAGTTATTGTTTCAAAGCAGTTTTACTGTAATGCACATTGATGCATTACAAACAAAATCAGAAAAGTTATGTTATCATAACTTTATTAGTTGCTAATTACTTTAATCACTACACTGTAAAACCCAACAGTCAACTTTATCAAATGCAATGTGTAGTTAGCTTGATTGAAAGTTAAATCTACTCATTTGAAAAGAGTTTTGATTTCAGTGTTGTGTTAAAGTGTTAATTAAATATCTTACTATTTCAGCAGGAAAGCATAGATTAGCATAGATTAGCTTTTTAACTCAAATGGTTTGTAGCAATCGGTTAGGGCTGTGCAATTAATCGAAAATCCGATTTCGATTTTAGCTTCTAACAATTATGAAAAACCATTAATCGAGATAAACGATTATTAACTTAACAGCGCAAAAGTCTGCATGCTTGTGTGTGTGTGTGTGTGTGTGTGTGTGTGTGTGGAGGCATGCAGTCAGCATTCGATCTCATTCGCACACTGACGAGCAGGGCCCTGTTCGGTTTATGCACCTTTAAAATCTCATATAATTAAGAAAATTCCAGACCATTAGCTGCATTAAAAACAAACAACAGTTGTTTTAAAATCTATTCTGAATTTAACAGGGAGCCAGTGAAGAGAGTAAAGGACAGGTGTGATGATCTCTCTTGATGGTCTTGTTTTTAATATTTAACTCCAACTTGGAACAATTCAAACTATTAGACTGATCATTATAGCTAAGTCTTTCTTACTGAGTATGAGTTTGAGGTGAAAAGTTAAAAAGCAGCGTTCAGTATTCAGCATCTTTCAGTTTGTTCTGCAAATCCACAACGTAAAATATGAATACGTGTGAAAAAATATTTAATGTACAACTAAGAAATACTTTTTAATTCACCAAATTCAGAATTCTCACATATGTAAAACACTAAAACAGTATCAGAAATTATGCAAACCAATCCTCTTTCCAAATTATCAAGTCCTGTGCCTAGTCCGGTGCCATCCTTAAAGGCTGATCGGGCATGTGCTGTTTTGGCAGTGAGATCTGGAAAAATGGATATTCTCATGTCACAACACTGACCTGTTTCCTTTCACCTGCATGCATTAATACTTCAACACAGTCAAAATAATAATGCAGCCTTGCCACAATAGCTCGTGGTTGCTGCCCAGTCGGGTTTTGACTGCAATGTGTGATGCGATCTGTCAATTATGATGTTCTTATCCATGTTGAGTGCGTCCTTAAGGGGCGATCACACTGAACATGCTTATTACATTGAGAGGCGCCTTTTTGAATGGCTTACTAACCGCTACAAGAATTCTGCGCCCTGCTTATGCTCCCTGCTTGCCTCACATTTTACCCACCTGCTACGCTTTATGTTTTTGCCCCCTGCGTGCCGTGCACTCGCAGTTAAAAAAAAAGTTAACTTGGGCAGAAAAAATTTGTTACGTCAGTCGCGACTTTTTCATTCTAAACTCTCAGTTTCCGCTGAGGTGCCTGCAGTGTTTGTTGTCAAGACAACAACAGACATTTTTGAAGATAGAGGCGAGACTTGTGGTTGCTGTTTTGAGTTATCTGGTGCTATACGACTTAAATCTTGAATATCGCAATATTATTAAATATAAAAATTATATTAATATGAGCAGCAACACTCACGCACATTAAGCAGATGATTCAGTCATTAGGTAGCGACATAAAAAGCGTACTGTGCTTCTATTTTCCCGTCAGCAACAAGGCAGTGTGATGCGCCTCGTGTTTTTGGAACTTAAAGACATGTTTGGTGTGATCAAACCCTTAGAGGCCGATCACACCAAACGTGCCTTTACGTTCCAAAAATGCGAGGCACACCACAGTAGCTGTGCCTCATTTCAGAAGCTGCATCCTGCAAAGGATGCATTCGAAGTGCGCTGCGTCATCACGTTGCAACGAAGGCAGTCTCGTTTAAAAAAAAAACTCCAAATGCATCCTTCGTTTCCCAGGTGATCAAGGACACAACCTGGTGGATCCTTTGTGGCCTAGAACGTCCCAAGATTCATTGCGTGCTGATAACGGCAGGACATTTTAAAACAAAACTCTGGATTAAATGTATAAATTGGGTTTATTTTACTTGGATATCTAAACACATGTTTAAAAAAAACAAATAGAGGATGACACATTTTAGGAAAGAGGGATTTTATAGACACTTTACATGTTCGTGTACATGTATGGATCAAAGGAAATACATTTCCAGCTTCTGTAATCCTCGCTTTGCCTTTAGATCGCTTAAAATAAGTTTTTAAATCACTTTGAAAAAAAAGTCATTACAAATTTTATTACCACTTATTAACAGCAGCTGTTACGGTTGCTAGGTGACGAGATCTGTCCTCTGTAGGCTTGATCGTCTTATTTCAAAATGCTCGGTTCGGGCTGTGTGGACTTCGAAGAACTCGCCTTTGAAGTCTGCATCCTTCGGTGCCTCAACAAAAACCTGCCTCTGCTTATATTTGACAGGGTCCCCGCGGGTCCTTAAAAAGTCTTAAAATGTCTTAAATAAAATTTTCGATTTTTAAGGTCTGAAAATGTCTTAAATTCTGTAATTTTCCATAAGGAGGTCTTAAATTTCATGTGGGATCTTAAATATCATGTCCGACTCGTCTTATGGCGGCAAATCAATGCCAATATAAATCGAGCGCAGCGGTGATGTTTGCGCGTGAGGAGAAGTGAACCGTGAGCAGATTACAGGTCTACACGCGAGAAAATTACAGCTCGCGAGCGCACAGGGGATCTTCACGCGCGCGCTCAACTGATCCAGCGCGAGAAAACAAGTCCCGCGCGTGCACATTATCATCTGTGCGCACGATGTACGCTCTCGCGAGCGAGGTCATGCCTACAGCGCGCGCGCGATCAGTTCTCTCGGCTCGCTCGCTGGTTCTTCTCTCTGCTCGCGCGAAACAGTTTAGATTTTTGTGAGTCCTAGGGCGGGACTTGGTTTTCTTGTTATCTCTAACGCTATTGGCTACTCTACCTTTCCAGAAGTTAGCCGGGATTGGACGCAGGTAAGCTAGTTTCCCCGTTAAATAAAATTATATAGGAAATCTTATCATAATGTCACAGTGTGAAACATAGACTTACTTTCTCAGTAATAATAGGTGGAGACTTACTTTCAATAATGAGATATTTTTTGTAATAATTAATCTCATAATAATGCCTATTCTTACCATCATGACCAAGTCATATAATGACATATCAAAATAATGAGATATATTTCTGTAACAAACTTTATTACTTGGGAGAGAAAGAGAGAGTTATACCATGTGGCAAAAGATCTCTCCATTAAACAGAAATTGGGGAAAATATACATGGGCTATTAAATCAGGACGAATAATTCAGACTTTAAATGTGTTTTGAACCATTTGATGAAGTTTAGCACCTACATTTAAACTGAACTCAAACTTAACGTGTTCAAATTTACAAAAATCTTTTTTTTTTCTAAGATTCATTGTCCTTGACTCATTTTCTGTGAAGAACAAGTCAGAATAAATTGGATGGACAATAGTATACAAAATAGGCTATACATGCATGCAGTGCATAAAGTACAAAGGTTTATAGTAAATATATTGCCATTAGTCTGTTATTCCACTATACAGTTAAAGTCAGAATTATTAGCCCGCCTGAATTAATAGCCCCCTGTTTATTTTTATCCTAATTTTTATTTAACGGAGGGAAGATTTTTTTTCAACACATTTCTAAACATTATAGTTTTAATAACTCATTTCTAATAACTGATTTATTTTATCTTTGTCATGATGACAGTAAAAAATATTATACTAGATATTCTTCAAGACACTTCTATACAGCTTAAAGTGACATTTAAAGGCTTAACTAGGTTAACTAGGCAGGGTAATTGGGCAAGTTATTGTATAACGATGGTTTGTTCTGTAGACTTTCGAAAAAAATAAATAGGTTAAAGAGGGTAATAATATGGACCTTAAAATGGGTTTTAAAAAATTAAAACAGCTTTTATTCTAGCCGAAATAAAACAAGAAAAAAGTGGGCTACTAATTTTGACTTCAACTGCATATGTGACCTTTAAGATGTGGGCCTGTCGTATAGAAAGTAGTATTTGTATGCCTCTGAAGTGGAATGATGTAATGGATAGTGAGTAAAGCCAAACGAAGATTGTTGATTGAAGTCTTTATATGCAGGTTATTCAATCATTAACTAAAAATGAGATTGAAAAATATATATAATATATATAGATATATATATATTTTACACTGATCTATATTACAAACAATGTTAACAATTATCTATAAAGATAAATTAATTATAATTATCTATAAAGATCTAAAACGCAAATAAACTCTTCTGAAGACAATATTTCCTAGAAAGATCATCCCCAAGTGTAATAATGAGCACTGCTGTTGTGGTTAATAATGAAGTAAAATACAACAAACCAGACAAGTGCTGCACGGACAAATCAAATGGGTTCAGAAAGTCATGTTACAAGAATGCAAGTCATTATTTTGGATATTATTTGACTGTTTCTCGAGATTGAATCCTCATAAAGTTCATAAAGTTCTCAGAAAGTTTCTTATGATTATGACTTGCAAATTGTATATATATTTAACGGCATGATCTTTTAACTTGCGTCCAATCCCGGCTAACTTCCGGAAAGGCACAGTAGCCAATAGCGTTAGAGATAACAAGTAAACCAAGTCAACCAAGAAATCTGCTCACGGTTCACTTCTCCTCGCGCGCAAACATCACCGCTGCACTCGATTTATATTGCCATTGATTTGCCACCATAGATTTGCCGCCATACTTCACCACATCATTCTGTGTTCACACTGAACATTTTCCTGTTGTTTTTTTTTTTTAGGTAAAGTCTTAAATTTTCATTTTAGAGGACTTAAAAAGGTCTTAAAAGGTCTTAAATTTTCTGTTAAAAAATGTGCAGATACCCTGATTTGATTGGAGAATGAAAAAGACTTGACTAACGTAACATGCTTTTTTTTCTCAGGTTCAGGGTTGACTTTTATCAACTGTGAGTGCACTGGACGCAAAGGCAAAAACATGAGGCGCAGCAGGCGGTTAAAATGAGGGGTGCAAAACGCTTCCTGCCATTAGTAAATCATTCAATAAAGGCACCTCTTAAAGCAAATAGCGTGTTCGGTGTGATCGGCCCCTTAATCCGCTTGGATCGCCACAGCAGTAGAAAGTTGGTGTTCCAGAACACCAATAATTTTTGCTTTATTCCGACGAGATCTGGCTTCTAAATCTTCAAACTTCTTCTAGTTTTACCGCAGTAGCCAACAGAGAGTCAACCTTTTCATATAGCAGAGTAACATCCGAACGTGTGGAGAAAGAATGTTCCATATCCAATAAAGGAGTACTTTAGACACATTTTTACAATGATTCAAGAGGATAACTCGAGTAAAAAGTCATCATTTAGGTTTCAATAAACAATTTCTATGATATTTTAGTGTTTTTCATTGCAGCAACAATATTCTGACAGCAATAGGCCGTTCATATATATTTAACACGCTATCTGTGCAAAATTCAAAGTGCAAAACTGAATCTTCATCAATCTTAAGTTGAGTCGTTACAGTCATTCCTTGTACTTGATGAATTATTCTTCATCAGACATTAAAAAAATGCAAACTATCCATTGCTATCACTTGTAAATGATGCTCTTAGCAAACATGTCTGTCTTTTATCTGTGGTCACTCAGATGGTTCCATGGAAAGATCACACGCGAGCAGGCTGAGAGACTGCTCTACCCCCCAGAAACAGGCCTCTTCCTGGTGCGTGAGAGCACCAACTACCCTGGAGACTACACCCTTTGTGTCAGCTGCGACGGCAAGGTGGAGCATTACCGCATCATCTACCACAACGGCAAACTGTCCATCGATGAGGAGGAGTACTTCGAAAACCTCATGCAGCTCATGGAGGTGAGGCTCGATGAATTATGACCTTCTTTAACCTTAAATTTTGACTGAAAAGCAGTGGTGTTTTTAGCAGCCAGTGTAATTTGTGTTGTGCATATGAGTACATAGGGCTGGGCGATATTGCAAAAAATGTCACGATATCATGTTTCATATCATCCGTTATTGATAATTATTAATTTTTTTTTAAACAATACATTCAGGAATATTAGGATTTTTTTTATTTAACCACTTTAATTTACCAACATTACTAAGGCAAATAGTTTTATTAGTCAAAAACAAAAATATTTAAACAAAGTATCTCATCTCTTTATAATAAAATAAATATAAGTGTTAAAGAGACTCTTAAACTTGATAAATAAAATGTGTGCAATGGTAAAGGTACATCAACATGCTTGCGCTTCCCTGGCGTTTTTCGTAACTAAGTGGCCATCAACCATTTTCTCAGAGGATGACAAATGGACAAACCATTGCTGCAGCTCTGATGCAAATTTATGGGGAAAAGTAAAAAAGCATTGGAAATGACAAACTTACACACTAAGCTTATTGGAACTGCTTCCAAGGCTTATTGGAACTTGTACCAAAAGGTGGTGCTAGACGCACAACTGAACGCTATTGGTTTACAGAGATGTGTCACTCGCTTATGTAACAAGCCAGAAAGAAAACAAAGGAAACGCCATGTTTTAAAAACACAGCCGAGACATTACACCGTTAAAATATATACATATAATAATGAGCCATGGTTAACCGGAGTTCAAACAAACCTTGTCGTCGTCTTGATGAACAGCCAAAAAGAAGAGCAGATGCTGCCCTGTGCCCCGTAGTTTTTTGCAAGGCCGTCTAAAGCGCGATCGATTTTGATTTCTCGTTTGCTGCATGTCTATATTTAAAATAACAAACTTCTTGAGCTGATGATAATAACGTGCATGTGATTATTGAAGTCCACCCGATCCTTTCAGGAGCGGACAAATGCGAGAGTGACGCGTAAAAAAAGAAAAGAGAAGCCAGAAAAAACACAGGTGCAAATAAATTTTTTTAGCAGTCTAAAACATAAACAAACTGCCATGTTTAACTATTATTGTCGCCTTTTGGACTAATATGAACTAGGAATGATGGTATTACTCTCTAACTGCTGAAGATTAAAGATATAGATGAGAGGTTTGCTCTGACTGTGGACTGTATGTTGTGTGTTTTTGAATTCAAATAAGGACTAAATGTATGCTGTGTGTAGTTTCTCTGTAATTGGTAACATATCAGAAACTGTAAGGGTCTGTATGTGTTCATGTATGTTGCATTTATTTATTTATTTATTTTACATAATTGCAGACATTTTTTTTTTTACAGCAAAGCAATAAGCTCATGTAAATGTGTGTACTTAATAAAGTGTTAGACAATAACTCAGTATTTATGCCTGTATAGTTGCTGTGTGGATTGTGCACTGAAGCACACTTCCTTTTCTCAGACATCAACAAAAATTGTGTAGTTTAGTAAGATGTCAATAATGGCAAATAAAGCAAAATGATGCACATATTACCAACATTTCTTGACATTTAAGGAGAGAAAGCTATTTATTTACTAGAAACAACATTTATTATAAACGTCAAGTTAAATACATTTTTAAATTGAAATCAATTCATATGCGAGGAAAATTGCAAAAAAATTGCAAAACAATTGACATAAGAGTTTTTATGAATGAGTCTTAGAAGATAGTTTTGTTTATTTTGTTTTCCCTATTTGTCTTATAGTGCATAAGTGCAACACCTCTTGCTTTGTTTACAACAGTAATACAGGAACAACTATGGGCCAAAACCAAATTTATTTTAGAACCCCCTACCTTAACCCTTTGCTTTTCAAACTAAGTGTGAAGTAGGCATGGGACTATAACAACCAAACTTTTCTGCTATACCATTCTTATGGTAAATGTATTGATTATGTATGATTATTTATTTATTTATTTATTTTTCTATTTAGTTTTCAGGACAACCGTATCTCCTGTAGAAATATATCCAAAGATGCCATTTTAAATTGTAAAGAAATCTGTGTTTTTGAAACAAATGAAGACAGCAAAAGTCAATGATACATTTAAATTATTGCGAAAATATTTTAAACGTTTCACAAAATTAAATATATATTGTTCAAAGGGGAAAAGTTTTAGTTTTTTACCCAGACATTTAAAAAGAACATATTTTAGAGCAGTAATCACAATTCCGTCAAACTGTTATATTTTTATCCAAGGTTATCATACCGTTAGAATCTTATACCAGCCAATGATTAGTGTGAAGTGAAATGGCTTCAGTTTTATCCCTATAAAAAAGGGCCGTTTCTAGCTCTTAGGTCATTTGAGATTGTTGGTGACACCTGATGTAGTTATTCCAGTTGTCATCAAGCGACAGATTTGAGAATATGTTGTGGTGCTACTATACAGTAGTTTTTATTATGGATTAGGGCTGTGCAATTAATCGAAAATCCGATTTCGATTTTGCCTTCTAACGATTATGAAAAATCATTAATCGAGATAAACGATTATTGCATCATTTACCGCCCCCTTTCAAGTTGTACACGTGTTGCTCTTAAAAGCGCGAAAGACCGCATGATTCTGTGCGCCGCGCACACAGTATTGAAGGATGAAGTCAGCATTCGGTCTCACTCGCACACTAAGACGAGCAGAGCGCAGTCAGCGCACACATCTAAAGTCATCTTAACGTGAGCACTTTAATGGTCAAATAGGTGTCAAAACGCGGTGTTTAGTGATTATTCATATCAAGCATCATTTGTGTTATAAACTAACGAGTTGAGATTTAAAAGAAGCGAAAGAGAAACTATTAAAGAGACAGCGCTATAATCCTTTTGCCGCCTGTTTATATGATTATTAATCAAACAACAAATGGAGAACATGCCTCTGCTCTTGACTGAAGGATTTTTGTAGCTAAAGTGTTTCCTAAAGTGAAGATGCTTAAAGCACAGTTTGTTTGACTTGATAATTTTTTCAAAATACATGCATTAAGATTCAAAGTGCGATTTAAAGGCTTAATTAGTGTTATTAGACAGGTCATTGTATAACAGTAGTTTCTTCTACAGACAATCAAAAAATATTTTGCTTAAGGAGGCTAATATTATAGACTTTAAAATGGGTTTCAAAATATTTAAACTTGCTTTTATTCTAGCCAAAATAAAAATAAAAAAGCCTTTCTCCAGAAGAAAAAAATATAAGAGTAAATACTGTTAAAATTCCTTGCTCTGTTAAACATCATTTGGGAAATATTTATTTTTTACAAAATTCTCAGGAGCGCTAATAATTTCGACTTTAACAGTAATCGTTTTGAATAATCGTGATTTGATTTGTCCCAAAATCGAGCAGCCCTATTATGGATTATAGATAGCGAAATGTTGCGTTTAAAAAAAAAAAAAAATTGTGAACCGCAAACGTGAAACCATGAATCGTGAAACACGAACGCTGTATTAAAATAGATGCTTGTTTGTTGTAAAAATTCTTAGTAATGGCAAGCAAATTCTAAATTCCTCCTTCAGAGATAAGACCTTTTATTAATGTTTACATTTTAAACAAGTGGCAGGAGGAGTGGGATGATATTGAAAAATAATAAACTGTATGAAATACAACATGAAATCTCAAACTAAATTTTAAGACTAGATTTGATCAAATGATTTTTACCAGATGTTGTATTGGACATACAAGAATAACCCATGTTTTTTTGCTCAAAGGTGAGGACTACTCAATGTTCGCTTCTGCACAATTCCTCTCATGGTAAAACACGTTTTACTGGACTGTCCTGCTTTTAAGGATTTCAGAAGATTTTTTTTCTAAAATGAATTCTCTTAAGGTAATTTTTAGCAAAGTAACACCAGAAAAAATTAGAGAATTTGTAGCATGTATTAGAGCTAAATACCGTATTTAATTTACTGTATGTATTCATTTGTTTGTTGTTTTTTAATTTTATATTTATTATTGAAATCTGCTTTCCAAGAAAATAGCCTTGGTTGCTGACATGGCATTAAACAAAAAATACATTACATCTTAATAATGGCAAAATCTCCTTACCCTCGTGTATAGCCATGTGGCTGTTGTAGCTTGTGCTTTCTGGGAAATTTTCATAACTCTTAGTTTCTAGTGTGATCCTGGAAAATTTCCATTTCAAGGGCTGTCTAGAACTTCCCTACACCTACAAGCCTAAGAGAATTGGGATTGGTCCTATGTCACTGCTCTTTATAAGCAGCAGTGTGGGTATAAAGTGAATTTGCATGCCATTCATTTTCTAAAAAACAAAACAATTGTGAGGAAATAGAATAAAAAAATCAGCATGGTGGATCAAATCATGAGTTCAGTAAATCATTACATGCCTAAATTCCATGCCTCCAAACATGGAGCTGAACAGAACTAACAGTGATTGGTTGTTTTAAATGTCATTCAGATGGCCTTTTGTTTGTTGTGATGGGCTCCAGGGTTCTTTGTACCTTGCTTAAATGATCTGAGATGATTTGACAGATCCTGGATCTTTTAATCTTGACAAATAATCTCTGACTAATTTGGTTTTTCAAACAAGTTTGCGAATCAGATTAAAATGTCCAGATGAACTGATCTGAAATCTCTGCCTGTGTTGTGAAGGATTTATACATTGATCCTCGAAATCATGATCAGCAATGCAACGATTGGCTGACGGCACAGCAGTGAAATGACAACATCCGATTAATATTCAAATATTCAAATATAAAATTTGTAGTAAACAAATATGATGCGCATTAACTTCATATTTGTTGTGGGCTGCAGGCTTCACACTTTCATCTGTCAAGAGTATTTAGCAATTTATTTAGTTTTACATTTAGAGTGGATTTTCTTTATTATAGTAGCCTAGGCCTTTTCAAGTTTTGTAATCAGCGTAAGAAATCTAAATAAATTTTGCAATAAAAAAATAATCTGCAACTTTTACAAAGCATTAAATCACAGTCATATTAGCCATCAAAACATGTACAACTGAATAAATTATTATTCC